TGTGGTCTTATGCCCTCCAAACATGCCCAAATGCTTCTTCTTACGATAATGTCGAGTTACAGCATCGTAAATTAGGTCTGTATGAAAGTGGGTGGGATTTTGGGTGGCTGGCTACTTAAATATAATAAATCAAAATTACATCAACAGTAGTTAGTGATTTTCTCTGTTGAAGAAGGAAGGCCTGGCAGCATCATACTCTTTAAGAATTGAGTCATGTCAATTTTCATGGGTACGAGAGCTCGAGGTGATGGGAAAGGAGAATCAACAAGATACGATGCTCTGAACAGATGAATGTTTATGGCCTAATATGATTCAGGTAATAGCATCTTCTTATACAAGCAAACCATAAGAGAATATCTCAAAATAGCGACTGGATTTAAACATATACTCTTTCCGTTCGGATAGGTGTATACCCTTTTTAGTATGTTAAGACTATTTCAGCATGTGTAATTAAGCATTTGACTGGTGTTTCTAATTGAGGGAAGCAGGATGAATACTCGATTCTCAAATCTTAATTAAGTATCATGTAAGGGTGGACAAATGTACAATAACATTAAAAATGGAACAGAGGTAATCTCTATTAAATGGCAAAGACATTAAAAAAAGTAGTCTCTTTTATTACCTGGATGAGTGCAGATATCCTTCCAGGAGCATGCTGAAATTTACACAAACATTAGCAAGGGAATTATTTACTANGGGATGCGGGTGGGGTAGGCATAAATGTATGTTTATGTGAGTTTACGTGTTAGTGCATGGATCTATGACACCTCAAATAGCTTCTCCTCCCATGTTAGGTCCCTCCAAGATTTTGCTTCAAGCGATTCCCATGAACTAGGAGCTTGAATAACTTCCACATGCTGCAACAGCCTCAAGCTATCTGCAATAATAGTTCAAGTAAGTATTCTAAAAGTAAAAATAAATCCTCTTACTGTATATAGGAATACAAATTCATGATGGCACGTTAAGCACACTTTTTACTCTACCTTTTTCTTTTCAACTATACAGGAATGTGCAATTCATAATGGCACATTGAGCCCGCTTTTTACTCTACCTTTCACTTTTAAACTGAGTCTAACCTTAAATATTTGCACATAATAAGCATGAAGTTGAGCTGGAGAACTGAGGCAAGAGCTTTAAGCATTAGGACCACAACTTAGACATGTATTCTAGAAACTCAATCTCCACTTGACCATGCAAAGAGAAATATCGTTGGAGCTCTCGGCAGGGAATAAAAGCAAGCTTGGAGCATATAATGCTGACCAAATGATAATTCTGAGCTTAGTTTGAACCACCTACTTGTAATGAATGCTTCCAACCACATTTCACGCTTTGACCATGAAGGTGCAATTTCTCTGACTGGGATTTTGTTTCTTGAGCATATTCTGTACAAACACAGGATCATCAGTCATTATTTGACCCCCAAAAAAATTAATGAGAAATCTCATGTGATTAAGAAAGCTTCTTTCTTTAAAAGCAAGCAGCTCCTAGCAGACAAGCTCACTAATATATTTTTCTTGACAGAGGCTACTTAAATCATATAGAAACAATATGAATTGATCCTTTCGATTCAAAAACTCCACTTTTCTCATTTCAGTCAAATTCTCCAATAATCCACAGAGCCTCAGTAGCTTCAGATTGCCCTTGTGGTTCAAATATGGTTATTATGCACAAGGAAAAATGTCAGACCATTCTATAAAGTACACCCTTGGGAACATATAGGACAACTTGCAGATAGAAATTCTCAAATGGCAAAGATGGACTAGTAAACAGACTACTAACCAATGAGTTGTTATTACTAACTTGCCTCCTATATTATAAAAAGAGATCTCTGTCCAAGATCTGAATCAGACTCCCTACCATTAAGGAAATTCTTTACAGTATAGTACGTAATATGTGCATAACACATAGAATTAGGGCAACAGAGAACCCTCTAGGATAATTCCGTGCCAACCATATCAAGCATTAGGCAAAGCATTTATTACATTCTACAGATACTGCTGCAAAATGCAGAGACAAATTTCCAAACAGTAAAGAGGAGTTCAAAATCTAAATATGTCAAATTCCACCAGCCAGAAAAGGAACGCACTCAATAATTACTTGGCGTAAAACTCCTGGAAGTACACCATCTCTTAGAGGGGCAGTCTGCAATTCAATTGATACTGTAGATTCATTGTCTCTTTGGCTAGCCTTGTGATAATCGTCGTTAACATCCTGCAACAAAATTTTCAGTAATTTCTGTAAGAAACATGATAGACCTTGTATAAGTTATACACCATTTACATACAGTTAAAGCAAAATGATAAGAGTTGTTAACTCTTCATACACTAGATTACAATTCCAAAATACCATTGACCTTTTAAGTCTCATCCCATTTACATATTAACTGAGCAAGATAAGCTTTCCACATGAAGTTAAGATTGTCATGCATTCACTTTCTAAAGGGGAAGCTGGAATGTCGTCACCAAGGATTTACCTTATCCTAGCAAAACAGTACTACTTGCACTACTCAGATGGCTTGGTTAGTAATTGCTGGAACCCTAAGTTGCTCGGACACGGGTGCGGATCTAGAGGTCGGATCTGTCGAGATATAGATTCTAAGATTCGGGGATACGGATCCTAGTAGGGGTACGGGTGCGGGATCCAGCTAAAAATAATTCAAAAAAATAAAAATATCTCTAAGTTATGAGAAATTTTGTAGAAATAGCTTGTAAAGTGTGGATTTCTTTTTTATTCTCAAGTTGTAGATAAGTAAGGGATTGATTTCCTAGATAAGATAGGCTATTTTCTTCAAATTTACCCTGGTTTTGGTTCTGGTTTCGGGAATCAAATTGTATCTCATCTCGAATTTTTTTGGTCCGTCGTGGTCAAAGTACCCAAAATTATTTGACCAAATCCGATATGGATCCCATACCCACACCCATACTAGTGTCGTGTCGACACGGGTACGGCGCCTAAACTGCCATGTCGGAGCAACTTAGCTGGAACCCTTGCTAGATAGAAGTAGATACACCTTGAGCGTAAATACTGTGTCCATTTGAAGTAAAGCCTAGAACTTTTTTTTCTCTAACAGTAAAAGAGCATTTTTATTTACATCAGCACTAAGATGCTGCATTATCTTGTACATCCAAAAAGCAAAAGTATATTTTTTAACGGTGGAAAGAACCTATAAAATCAATCAGTGATGTTTCAGCCTCCTGTACCAAAATACAACAAGATCATACGATTACTCTTGATCTTCAGCATGGAGTTAGTACATCTTCCAAGGAACCTCTTGTTTCTTTCTTTCCGGATGGACCACCAAATGCACACAGGGATTGCATTCCATATTGTCTTCAAGCTTTACTTGAAACTTAATAGCCCCAAACATCTTTTTTTATAGCCGCAGTAATCTTACACTTCACGAGTAGTTCCAGGCACAGTCCAAGTCATTCCCAGTGTGCCCAGAAGTAAAGTTTAGCACTATTTGATCAGTAAAGCGTAAGTTTCATTAATTGTTACCTTATAGGAAAAGGTTTCATTAATAGTTAGAGGACAAGCAATAAGCTTGTGATTGTCTATACAAAGTTTCCATATACAGACAATAACCCTCCCATAATTGACTAATAAAATCTATCAAGTTATGTTGACTACTACTAGAAGAAAATCCCAGACACTTGGGATCTTTCTTTCTCATACAAAGGTTCCAATCTGATCACTAAACTCACTGATGAATTATTTCTGTATAACTTGGTTCAAAGATGCCACAATGTCAGATTGCATAACTACAACAGTGAGGACTCTAAATACAATGCAAAATTCAAAATTTACAAGTCCCCACCTATAGAAACGATGGCTATCCTAAAGAAACCAACTGTTTCTTCAATAAATGAAATCTCTAGTTAACACAACCTCGTATTCTTTTTCTGTCCTTTTTTTAAGCATTAAAAACGCATGCATAAGCTCAATTTGCTGAAACTTAGACTTCCATGAAAAACCATCAATGGACTAACAAAATTGGTACTCCTTTTTCAAGATCAAATAAGATCTCGGTACCAGTTATTACTAACAAATCAACTAAACAAAAATGGCTTGGCCATCTGAAATCCAGCCAACTATATGCAATATAACGCAACACAAAACTTTAAAAAATAGGGTGGTTAACGGTGCTATAATGATGTATCACCTTGCGGCAAACGACGAAAAGATTTGTCAAACAACCCTCTAAGATCTGATCATCATTGTTTGACAACAGGAGCTCATTGATAGAAGGTGGCCTCAGCTTCTCCAATTGCTTCCTTTGCCTACCTATAACGAAAACAACAAATTTCCATCATCATAGAAAGATTGTCTCGACAAAGTTCACCTCTTCCCTGTATCCTCAAATTAGATACAAAAGCTAAATCACCATTCATTAGTATGTTGAAGAAATTCCATGAGTATATCACTGTTAAAATTAAAAGGACTGCGACCGGTTTCTTGCGCATAATTACCTAACCCAGTCTGAGTATTTGGCATTTGCTACACGCCTACCACGACCAACAACTGCCAAACGTGCTGCATTTTCACGAATACCAAAGAGTGGAGGAACATAGGAACCAACATGAACATATACATCAAAAGCTGTAGAAATCTTTTCCTCATCTAAACCCTCAAATTCCTCCAAACTATCAACATTTCCACTGACAAGACAAGTAATAGCCAATTCCTCCCCACTTCTTCTTTCTTTCAATACAAAAGGCAGAGCTTTTCTCATTGAATCATTCACAAGAGATTGAACCAATGAATCCCACATGGTTGGTTTTGTTGATACTAAGGAAAAAGGGACTCTACATCTTTCTGAATTGAATAAAAGTTCTGGGTTGGAATTTAAAAGAATTCTTAGAGAGTTGGAGAGTCTGCTCATATGCCTTTCCCAAAACAATAGCTGTGAGCCACCATTGTGAGTCCTAGTTGTTGTATATGCACCTGAAATGGAAAAAGAACTGTACCCTTAAGTTTTTTTTTTTGTTTTTTTTAAGCATTTATTGGTTGAGGTAGTTCTAAAACAAACTTTCCTATGTGGGGAACTTTTTTTTTTGTTTAACAAAACAAGAATTCAAAAGAATGAAGATGAAAAATAGGTATTTACCTTGGTGGGCTTCAAGTAAGGTTGTTACTGATGGGGCTTCTTCCAAATATGGAATAAAGCCATTTTTGAAGAGAAATCTGCAGCTGCTGCTCGTCATTTTCGCCTGAAACAAGAAGGTGAATGACCTATTTCCTCCCAGAAAAAAACAATAAATAAAAGGGGGTTTGGGGGGGGGGGGGGGGGGAAAA